TTTCTGAGTCTAAGAACGGTTAGTTTCGCTTTAGAGTAAAGAACTTAACACTTTAAACAGCTGATTCTCGGCGTCGGCTATATTTATTTTCCGTAAATTTTTGTGATCATAAAGCTCCCTTTTCACTTTTTAATCTTTTTAAGTTCTAAGTGGTCTAGAACACTGAATATGATTGGTGTATTGATTTGAGTTTTTTTTACTGGGTCCCTGACATTCTGTTGTCGGGTAAAAGTATAAAACTATAAGATCTTTCAGTCAAATTTTGGTTATATAAAACCTTTTTTTATTGCGTTCGCATATTAATGCTGTGTGTTGTTGTAAAATGACCGGGTCTACATAATGCTGAATATATTTATGTCTGTGAACGATCAACTGCCTAAAACGTAAAACGCACAGCGCAACATCTGATGTATAAATTCTCATAATCTTCAGCTACACGTCTGTTGCTTATAGTATGGGTTTAATAAAACATAGAAATTTGCCAAAAAATTAGATAATAAGAAAGTTATTGAAGGTTCATTAAAAGGAATGCTCTTTAATGTCACTTTAATGTCAAAAATATCTGAAATTTTTGTGAAAAATTGTACTATATCCTTCATATAAGGTCAATAACTATGGTGTTTATAATACAGTGTTTTTAGATTTACCTGTACGCATAAAAATATACATATACATACTAAGGTTAAAATAACTAGTGCATGAAGAATTCTAAACATGCAACCATATCATATGAATAATTAGTAAGTTAGCTTGTCCTTCGATTTTCTGACATTATTCATATTTTATATTATCCGCAAACCATTACTCGTGAAGGACGCAACTGGACATACAAACTTATCGTGAGCAATAACAAATGTCCAATCAGGTATATTAGGCTGTCAGAGACGAAACATAGTTTTCCCATTTGAACGCCGATAGATCAGTATAGTTCCAATTACTATCTGAATATTTGTGAATATTGGAATACGTTAGACTTTCGTCTATTTAATTTAATTTCGGAAGTAGTGTAAAAGTACAATTTCTAACTAGTAGATAGATCTTTCAAAAATAATGTGCGCTACAGGACGCAAAATAACCCAGAGCTTCCAGTGGTCAGTGCAGGAAACTAAGGATAATTCATATTGCTCAACAGTAAAATTCATTGACATGAATGCATATCGCAAAATATATATGCACCAAATCCCATGCAGC